GCCTCTGGTCTCATGGTGCCCCTGTGCCCCCCGCAGGCTCTCCGTGTCCCCTTTGCACGGGGCCCCTGAGCCTCCCGGTGCCCCCAGGCCCCACCTTGCTGGCCCGGTCGTAGCTGTCGTGCAGCTGGAGGTGCTGGCCCACCTTGCTGCTCAGGTCCACCCACTTGCCCTTGAACCACTTGACCACGGGCGGTTTTAGGAGGCTGGCCCCGGCCACGCGGGCTGAGAAGGTGATGTTGCCGCCTGCAGGAGAAGGGTGACAGGCTGGGCTTGGGGGATGCCCTGCCGCCTCCCTCCCCACCCCACTCCTGGGTGCAGGAGCCCCACACTCACCCACGGTCACCTCGCCATCCTGTGGCCGCATCACAAAGAGGCCGATGGGGTCGTCAGGGCCATCAGGGGCCGCTAAGCTTGACCCTGGGAAGAGAGGCCTTTGAGACCTGCCCTGGGACACCCCCACCGCTGGCTGTGGCCCTCCCTGCCCACCCCTCTCACCTTTGGGACTCGGGGAGCCTCCTGCTCCCTCAGTGGCTGAGGCCACGGCTTCTCCGGGGACTCCAGGAGCCTCGGCAGGGGCGGGAGCAGGGCCCGGCACAGGTTCTGCCTTCTCTGGAGGGGAATCAGTGGTGGGGGTCGTGGAGCAGCTTCTAACCAGAGACCCCTCCTCTTGTTCCCGATCCCTCCTCAGTCTTTTTTTGTGTGTGAGGAAGATCAGCCCTGAGCTAACATCTGCCAATCCTCCTCTTTTTGCTGAGGAAGATTGGCTCTGGGCTACATCCGTATCCATCTTCCTCTACTTTATATGGGACGCCGCCACAGTATGGCCTGACAAGCGGTGCATCGGTGCGCGCCCAGGATCCGAACCCGCAAACCCCGGGCTGCCGCAGCGGAGCGCGCGCACTTAACCGCTTGCGCCACCAGGGCGGCCCTCCCTCCTCAGTCGTTGCAGGCTCATTAAATACTCTGTGTGTGCAGAGCACCATCTGGCCTGCATCTCGCCTATCTCCTCACCCTCGCAGACCATCTGTGCCCACGTCCCGGTGGGTCTGCCCTGAACAGCTCTGAGGTCCATCCCTCCTCTCCTTCCCCAGGCTTCGGTCGTGGTCCAGCCCCCAGGCTGGGCTGGAGCTTCCTCCGCGCCCACAGCTCCCGGGGCTTCCCTGCCAGCGCACGTAGCCCGCCAGGTTCCCAGTGTGCGTGGGTCCACCAGGAGGGCAGTGTTATGCCTTGTGCACCTCTGAATTTCCCCACCTCCGCAAGGGCTGGAACAGGCCAGGGAGCCACATGGGGGCACTCAGAGAGGCCCTGCTGCAGAAATGGGGAAAAAGCACTCCTGGCAGAGGTCATGGCCAGAGCAAGGGCGAGAAAACAGGAAAGCACCTCTTACACCTTGGGCAAGGGAGCGGTGGTGGGGCTGCCCCTGTCCCCAGAAGCTCAAACCTCAGGGAGGGCTGACTAGGGTGTTACCTGGCTCTGTGACCTTGAGCTCAAACTTGACCTTGGAGGAGCCAGCGATGACTGCATAGAACCCCTGGTCGGCAGGGCCCACATCCCGCACTGTCAGTGTGTGCCGCGTGCCCTCGGCTGCCAGGCCGTACTTGTCGCTGGCACTGATGTCACTGCCCCTCCGCTGCCAGCGCACTTTCAGTCCTGCCCGCTCTGTCTCGGCCTCGAACACAGCAGAGCTGCCGGCGGCCACCTCCGCTGACCGTGGCTTCTTGCTGAAGGCTGAGACTGAGGGGACAATGGAGGCTGCAGGGGCCTCTGGCTTGCCCACGCATCCCGCCCCTGCAGCCCCTCTTATTAAATATAGTGATAAGCACTTGAATGCATCACCTCATTTAATGCTCCAACAGCCCTATGAGGTAGGAGTGGTTATTATGGTGGTTATTATGCCCATTTCTCAGATGAGGACACCGAGGCTCAGAGAGATTAAGTGACCTCACAAGATCACACAGCCAGTAGGCAGGAGAGCCAGGGTTGTGGTCCTAACCTCCACATGAGAGTTTTGGTAGGTGAGTCCCTGGATACCCACCCTCCCTGCCCGGGGGAGCCCAGCCCCTTTCCCCCACCATCTGGGGCCCTTGGCAAGGGACGAGTACTCTGCCTATTTGGATGTGGCTAAATTTGTCCTCCAGGGGCCTTAGGCTGAGAATCAGCAACTGAGATAAAGCTGGCGTGGGAGGGGGCTGGGGGCTGGATGCCTGCCCTGGACAACCTCAGTGAGGGCACAGGCCAGGACCAGGCTTCTGAGCTGTGACTTTCTCTGCCCTTGGCCGGGTCCCAGGGGCCCCTTGACTGTCCTTTCCCAGAGCAAAGAGGCTGAATGACCTCAACGGGGGGGCCACGCCTGGTGTGGGGGCCACAGGGGTACAGAGAATCTCGCAGCTGGAAGGAACCAACCCAAACCCTCCTCGTACAGATGGGGAAACTGACAGCCAGGGAGGGAGGGACTTGTCCAAGAGCGTTCCTGAGCCTGGCTCAGGTCTAGACTCAAGCTGGGCTCCTGCCTGCAGCCGCCTTTTCCCAAAAGGCAAGCCCAGGCCTAGCCTTGCTGCAGAAGGAGATGGGGACGGGGCAGGGGAGGCGGCCCCCTGTGTCCTGAGAGTGGGGTGACGGCCCTGGGGGCTTCCTGCCTGGCTGTCTCCCCTCCCTGTGCCCCTGACCCTGGTTTACCCTCACCGGAAGGAAGGGAAGGAGAAACCAAGAGTCAAAAAAAAGACCCCAGAAGGACAGTCTCCCTGCTCTGGGGCTCAGAGGCCTCGTCCTCACCAACCCCCTCAGGAACTCGCTCCGAGGCCTGCCACCCAATTGTAGAGCTCCCTAGCCCTCCCTGCCCCATACTCAGCCTCAACCCCAGGCCTGAGCTACCTGGCTTCTTCCCTGGTTCAGGCATCTTGAGAGAGGTCACGCCAGGAACCGAGCAGGCACAGGCCACCCAGGGAGGATCTGAGCGGGGACCCGACCCCCAGCACTATATAAGGGGCCCTCCCCTCTCCAGGCTCTCCTTATCTGCCTCCTACCCAGCCACCTGCTAAATATAGACAAATTCCAGAGAGCCAGGCTCTCCAGGAGGAGGTGGGGCTGTGCGGTTCCTGGCTGGCCCCTGTCCCTTCCTCCGCCAGCCCGGTATGATGGCTTCTGTCCCCCCAACCCTTGGGGAACCTCAGGCCCTGTCTGTATTTCCTTCTGACAGGCAAATTGTGCGATGGGAGTATGCTGGGCCCATAAACCTGAGGCAGATGGACCAAACGCATCCTTGCCAGGGGGTGTGGATGTTGGTTACGCTCACAGGCCCTGGACCAGGCGGCCACGAGTCCTGGCACCGCCACCCCCTTAACCTCTCAGGGCCTTAGTTTCCTCATCTGTAAAATGGGGCTGCACCCGCTTGACGGATAACAGCGCCCACTGCATAAGATTGTCCCATGTACAAAGTGGGTATATAAATGAAAATGCTACAATGACGCCAGGCACACAGAAGATGCTGAACGAATGTTTGCTCTTATTTTCCGGCCCCTAGTATCGCAGCTCACAGGATGCTGGGTTGGCCTTGTACTGTGGAATCCTGGGTGGGCTTAGTCCAGGGCCAGGGGGGAGGGGGTGGCATTGGGGGTTGACGTCACCTGAGGGGAAGGGCTGGGTGGGCCCGTAGGTGAGTGCGTGGGCGTAAGTCTCTAAAAAACCCCCAAAGTGGAAGCCAGAAGCAGAGCTGGCTCTTGCCAAAGTCACAGGATTCACACAAAAATTACTGCCAGAGCGTTCTGAGTCCCCTCATGCCCCACTCACTGCTCCTCTGTGACTTCTGCCCACTCTGAGTGCCCCCCACCTCCCACCCTCATCACATCAGGGGCATCACTGCTACATAGAAAGAAGCAAATTACATGTGACCCCTCCAAGTAGGACCCAATATCAGGAAAGGTCATTTGTCCCCTACGGTCAGGAGGAAGGAATGCTATACACAAGCAATGTCCCCGTGGTCGAAACTAACCATCCATTTAAACACCGAAATCCATTCTTGAACCATTTTTAAACTGCAGCCCATGCTCCTGAACCTTCTTTAAAAGAGGACTGAGCACCATTTACCCTCTCGGGGCTCCGAGGACCATGTAGGGAATGTGGTGGTCGGGCTTCCCCCAGCCGGAGACCCCAGAGCAAGGAGGTTGCGGGGTGTCTGCCCCGATGCTAATGGCCCCAGAACCTGGGTTCTCTGAGGTCTGCAGGCTGCTTCGGGAAGTTTCCACACTCCCAGCCTCTCTGAGCCGCTTCCTGTTATTGGAAGCAAGATGCTTACAGGCTGCCCGGCTCTTCTGTCTCTGTTTCTCCCCTGCTGTGGGCTAGAAGCCAGAGAACACAAGACACCGGCCTACCCACGAGAGGCTCCTGTGCCTTGGTCCTGCCAGCATGGATTCGGTGAGGACGCCTTGTGGCCGATGGCAGCTCTGTGGCTTAATCCTGCTCCTTGCCATGCTGAGCAATACCCCCTTCCAGACACAAGAAACTTCCCACCTCACTGACGTGGCAGCCCACGTGGAGCAGGATCCCACCTGCTCTTTACCAGCTGTGTGACCTTGGACAGATTATTTGACCTCCACAAGCCTCAGTTTCCCAGTCTACAAAGTGGGATAATATTAAACTCCATTTCTCAAGGTTGACATGAAATAAATGGCCAGAAAAGGGTTGTTGCCATTATTATTATCACTGGGGTCATAACCTAAAGATTATGAGTTTAAGCCTCCTTGAGGCTTTAAAAAAACCCATTTATTGTGTGTGGAGGGCTTTTTAATGACTTATTCCCCTAACAACTGAGGACTCGTCCTTTCCGCCAGCTCTAACTCCTGGTCAAGAGCTGTGTGTCATCTGTCTTCACGTCCCCAGCGTCCAGCTCAGGGTAGGGTCCTCAGTAAATGCCCGATAGACAAACGAGAAAAAGAGAGATCGCACGAGGAACCCCGACAGGGTGCACAAAAATTGTTTCAAAAGACTCTGAGCTGTGAGAGGACTCACTGAAAATAACTTTAATAAGTGGTTCTTGAGGAAGCTAACGGAGGAGAGGTGTGGGAAGGGAGAGATGCTCGGAAAGGAGGGTTCCATTTACATGAACGTGATGGCTTCGATCTCCCAAGGAAGCACCCCTGGTTGTACTAAGCAAGGCTGACCCCTCGCTGGGGGCAGACGCCCAGGCCGCCTTCGGGAGCCGGGGCTGGAGTCCTGGTGGAAGGCGCAGCAGGGCTGTGGGGAGGGGGTAGAGGAGAAGGGGGTGGGCGGGTGAGGCGAGGCCTGGCCCGCCACAGTCCTGCCCTTGGCCCCTGGGAGCGTCCCTCCCTGTGTCCGGGCCGGGCGAGGGTTAATGCTATGGCCAGCGGGGAGCCTGGCGGGCCGGCGCGTTCTGCCAGCCTGGGCTCAGTGGGGCGGGTGGCGCCGCTCGGCCAGGCCCCCGCGGCCCAGCACCTCCCCGCTGAACTGGTAGGTGAGCTTCTTCTTGACCTTCTTGACCTCGCCCGTCTTGCCGTAGTTGCGCAGCGCGCGGGCCATCTTCTGGTAGGTCATCTTCTTGCGGTTGCCCTTCTGGATGCCCCAGCGGTGCGCCAGCGCCTCCTTGTGCTTGGACGAGAACTGGAAGGTGCCCTTGTCCTTGTCCACCCACCAGATGCTGTCCTTCATGTCGCCGCTGCGGAGCAGGTCCAGCAGGAACTGGTACAGGCGGATCTTCTTCTTGCTGCCTGTGGGCGGAAGGTGGTCAGATCCCCAACCCGGGGACCCGCCCCCGCCTCCCCTGGATGTGGGAGCCCCTGGGGGGAAGGATTGGGGGTGGGGGAGGGGTCTGCAGGGGAACCGGCCCCCCCCCCGCCCCGTGCCTGCTGCGCACACTCACACCCACTCACACCCAGCACAGAGAGGGACAGAGGGACACAGAGCCTCGCACGGTCAGTCACAGAGCTGCCTGCGTGCACTCACGACACACGTGCTCGTAGACACAGGCGTAGGTATACACGGTCATGAATGCAGCAAACGCTTCGGCAAGCGTTCACACACCCACAGACGCACACCGCACGCTCAGCTCTGTGGCCTGACCACCACGTCAGTCAGCCTTGGCTGGGGTGGGCCTGGGGCACAAATATGGCTGGGCCCATGCTGGGTCGGGGGCTGGGGCTGGGCCGGCCTACCTGTTTCCCCGTGCAGGAGGCCAGGCCCCGGCTCCAGGCCATCGGCCTCCCCGTCAGACACCTCCAGTGGGGGGCTCTGCCGCTCGCCCTCCTCCTCGTCCGAGCTGGGCTGGGCCGGGGACAGGGAGGGGTACGGGAGGCACACCCGGGGTAGGTAGGAGACCTGGGAAGGCGGGGGAAAGAGGGTTGAGGTCAAGGCTCCGGGCTGCCGGGCAGGGGTCAGCCGAGTGAGAGAAGAGGGCGTACTGAGGGCGGGGAGGTCAGGCGGGGGCGGAAAGATCTGGGAAAGGTTGGGGAAATTGGAGGTTAGTCAGGTTACAGGGGTCAGGCAGGGTCACCACACACAGGGTACAGGCTGTGGGGACGAGGGGCTGCTGAAATCCTGCCAGGCTGGGCCCCTGGTTCAGGGCCGAGTGGCCTGGGGAAGGGACGCCTTTTTCTCATACGCACAAAGGCGCCGTGGGGACGTGCCAGGGCCCTGGGGTGAGAAGTGGGAGTGAGGAGGGGCTGAGGAGTCGGGGGTGAAGGGGGTTTAACAAGTGGGTGACAGTGAGTGAAGGGCAGTGGAGGTCAGTGGGGGGTGGGAGAGGTCAGCGGAAGTCACTGGATGAGATTAGGGTTCGTGGGCTGAGGAGGGGCAGTGAAGGGGGTCAGTGGGGGTTGCCACCAGAGGTCAGTGCTCGGTGTCTTGGAAGCAGGATCCATGAGGGGCCAGTGAATGGGGGTTGCAGCCAGTGAAGGTCAGGAGGGCCCACGCCAAGGCCCTTTGGGGTCAGGCAGATCATGGAGGGGTTGGTGGGAATTATCTGGGCCCTGTCCACTGTGAGGCGAGAGGAGATAAGGGGTGTGGGGTCACGAGGTCAGTCGGAGGGTCAGGAGGCAGCCGTTGGGGCTCCGGCCGCCGTTGGCACTGAGGGGCAGGAAGCCGGGTTGAGTAAGAGCCTGTGTCAGCTTCCTGTGAAGCGCGGGCCCCGCCACAGGCCGCGGCTGCCGCAGGACAGGCCGCTGGCCGCACGCACCTGGTGGCCGAGGCCGGCGTGGGTGGGCGCCATGGGGGTGTCGAGCACGTGCATCTGCTCCAGCTCCATGTGGCGGTAGAGCTGCTGCAGCTGGGGGGGCTGCACGCTCTGCAGCTCCGTGAAGTGGTTCTCGGCAAAGCTCTCGAACTCACCGTGCACGTGGTGCGGGTGGAAGTCCCAGTAGTGGTCTGTGGGGGACAGGCGGGTGGGGTGGTGAGCCCGGGTGGGCAGGGCAGGAAAAGGTTATCATGATTTTAAAAATCATGGGGTCAGCCCGATGGCGTAGTGGTTAAATGCGCACACTCTGCTTGGGCGGCCCAGGGTTTGCAGGTTTGGATCCCGGGTGCGGACCTACACACTGCTTATCAAGCCATCCTGTGGCGGCGTCCCATATAAAGTGGAGGAAGATGCGCACGGATGTTAGCCCAGGGCCAATCTTCCTCAGCAAAAAGAAGAGGATTGGCAACAGATGTTAGCTCAGGGCTGATCTTCCTCACCAAAAAAAAAATCATACTGCCAGGCCGTAGCAGGCTATTCCCACCGTAGGGGCCAGGCTGGGCTACAAATTCACATTAGTCATCTCACCTCTTGCCTTGTTATTTTATGACCCCATTTTATAGATGACAACACTGAGGCTTGGAGAGGCTACAGAACACGCCCATGGTCAAAGGCCTCATCAGTGGCAGAGCTTCGACCCAGGTCTGAAGCAAAGCCTGTGTTATCAACAGCCATTCTATTCTGCCTCCCATGTGGTCACAAGGACAGGGGCTTTTGAGCAGAGTCTGAAGCCTGGCTCTGCCATTTACTTTCCGTGTGACCTCAAGCACAGGTATGGACCTCTCCGGCCTCAGCTGACTCACCTGGAATATGGGGATCATAGCTGGGGGACGACACAAATGAGTTCACATTTGTGCAAGCTCCTAGCCCCAGAGTAGGCCCTTGGGGAATGTTGGCTCGTGTCCCCTCCCCTTGAAACCTCCCTGTGGTTCCTGAGCTGACAGTCACACAGATACGGCCTTGTCACATGGCCAAGGTGTGACTGCAAAGTCACAGGCTGACATTCCTCACACACGAGCCCTTGTGCTCCCCTCAAAGCTGTGCCCTTGGGCAGCTGCCCCTGCGCCCCAGTGAGGTGGCCAGACCCAGGGCTTTCCGGGAAACCCCCTCGTGGGGGCTTTCAGAGTCTGCGGTGGGTGGATTCGAGTTTAGGGAACAGCCACATGTCCTTGGGAGCCCTGTCTTGGGACTGGGGCAGGTGTTCCACATGGTTTTTCTGGGCACCTTTTCTAGGAACAAAAACTTCCCCATGTCTGAGGACTTCCTGGGTACAATTTGGGATCCAAAAGAAGAGGTAGTGATAAAGTGACAAGAGGGATTTTCTCATGTGACCCAAAGAGGGAGTGGACGAGATACCAGGCCAGGGCAGCGTCTCTGGGACAAGGGCACAGTCCTGCAAGCAGTCCACCACCAGCCCTGCCTCTGTGTGTGTGTGTGTATGTGTGTGTGTGTGTTTCTCCGTCTCCCTCTTTCTTTTTCCCTTGTGCACAAGCACACACCCACTCACTCACACATACCTAAGAAATGACATGTGTTGTTTTTGGCTCGAGACTAGTTATCAGAAGACTTGCTTTCTAATCCTGCTCTGCGGTGGCTTTGCCAGACAAGACATTTTATCTCCCTGAACCTCTGATACCCCACTTAAAAGTCAGAGACCGAGGGTATTATGCTGAACGAAATAAGTCAGACGGAGAAAGACAAATCACGTATGATTTCACTCATATGTGGAAGATAAACAAACACACACATAGGTAAGAGGAACAGATTAGTGGTTACCAGAGGAGAAAGGGATGCGGGGAGGGTGAAAGGGGTAAAAGGGCACATATGTATGGTGACGGATAAAAACTTGACTGTTGGTGGTGAACACGATGCAGTCTGCACAGAAACTGAAATATAGTGATGTACACCTGAAATGTACACAATGTTGTAAGCCCATATCACCCCGATAAAATAATTTTAAAAAAAAATCAGGGCTGGCCTGGCGGCGCAAGCAGTTAAGTGCACACACTCCGCTGCGGTGGCCCAGGGTTCGCCGGTTCGGATCCTGGGCGCACACCGACGTACTGCTTGTCAAGCCATGCTGTGGCAGCATCCCATATAAAGTGGAGGAAGATGGGCATGGATGTCAGCCCAGGGCCAGTCTTCCTCAGCAAAAAGGAGAGGATTGGCAGATGTTAGCTCAGGGCTGATCTTCCTCACAAAAAAAAAAAAAAAAGTCAGAGACTCAACTAGGTAGTTACTGAGGTCCAATGATGTAAACTCATTGGAACCCACAATCCAGTCTCCCACCTCTAGGATGCCACATGGCATAGAGAAGAGAAAGTACACGATTTGGGAGTCAGGTGCAGCTGGGTTCAAATCCCGACTCTGCCATTTACTGCTGTGTGACACTGACCAGGTCCTTTCACTTCTCAAAGCCTCAGTTTCCTCATCTGTAGGATGGGGCTAATAATTACACCCATGTCATAGGCTTGTTGAGAGGATTAAATGAGCTAATGCCTGCAAAGTGCTTAGAAGAGAACCTGGGGCCGGCCCCGTGTCTTAGCGGTTAAGTGTGCGCGCTCTGCTACTGGCGGCCCGGGTTTGGATCCCGGGTGGGCACCGAGGCACCGCTTCTCCGGCCATGCTGAGGCCGCGTCCCACATACAGCAACTAGAAGGATGTGCAACTATGACATGCAACTATCTACTGGGGCTTTGGGGCAAAAAAAAAAAAAAGAAAGGAGGAGGATTGGCAATAGATGTTAGCTCAGAGCCGGTCTTCCTCAGCAAAAAGAGGAGGATTAGCATGGATGTTAGCTCAGGGCTGATCTTCCTCACAAAAAAAAAAAAGGAAGAAGAAGAGAACCTGGCACAAAGTAAGACTCAATAAACATTAATTATCATCATCATTATTATTATTTTATTCTAAAGAGCCTGGATTAGCACTTGAACAAATAGCACATGCTTTAATATATGTTTATTTCCTCTCCTTCCCCTTTCCCCCGCCACCTTAGTGGCCCAGAGAAATAGTTGTAGGGGCCCTGGCCGTCACTGTCTCCCAGAGGCTGGAGTTGGGGCCGCACCATGAGGGCAGTGACTGGTTTTGTTCACCTCGTATTCCCAGTACCTAGATGCATAGTCACTCAACAAACATTTCCCGAATGAATGAATAAATGAATGAATGAATCCTAGCCTCTTAACTCTCTCAGGCTCCTCCACAAAATTATTTAAACCCGAAGGGAAAACAAAACCAAACAACACTTCATTTGTGCTTTTTCATCTTGCAGTGAGTTCACAAGCCCCAGAAATTCTCCCTTTGCTGTGGGAGAGTTGGCTCTGTTGTTTAGAGATGGGCTGTTTGTGGCTCTAGGATTTGGTGGGTGGATCTGGGTTCCTCTTCAGCTGCGGATCCGCACTCGACCCCACTCCTGGTCCTTCCCATTTTGCCTTCCCCTGCCCAGGCTGAAATGCAGAATGCCTCATCGACCCTGCCCACCACCCCCATCCTCGCTCCTACTCCAGTTCTGGGGTTCGGGAACCCTGAGTTCGTGGAGCTCTCCAGTGTGGAGTGAGGGGCCCCTGATCACTCTCTTTCTCTCCTGCTCTCCACCTCTGTTCTAGCTCCACATGAGACCCATGAGCTCACTCTGGTGATCTCAGCCCGAGGCCAACATTTCCCAAAACGGGTCTCAGTACAGCTTCATCAGAGTCACTTGGGGGGCTGGGAAAGCCTGCAGGTTGGGGGCCCACCAGAGACCCACTGAATCAGAAGCACTGAGAATCTGGACTCTAACAGGACCGTAAGGAGCTTCCTTTGCTCACTGAAGCTCTGGAACCCTGCACCGGAGTCCCCTGAAAACTGTCACAGAGGCTCTCGTGCTACAATTAAGGTTTCAAAAGGCCCAACGGAAACCTCGCCTTCACCCTTGATTTGCGTGCTCGAGCAATTATGTAATAAACGCTGTCTGTTTGGTAGCAGAAATGTTCCAAGCATGGGGCCCTCTGAAGGAACCCGATACAAGGAGGCTTTCACAGAGCAAAGGTCAGCGCTTCTGGGCTATTTGGACCTCATTTCTGGGTGACTGTTCATGAATGTATTGCTTTATCTCTTTTCGTCCCTTCAATGGGTCACCCAGGCCATCCTGCAATTTACACCCCCTTAGCATGACTCTCTGCTCCTCCAAAGACTATAATGTCATTTGCATATCTGGAGGTAGCTCTGAACCCTCCCTTCTATAGCCTGTTAGGCACCCAACACATAGTAGGCCTCAAGCAATATTTGATTAAATGACCAATAAAAATTAACTTTTAATGTGTTTTTTATGTACCAGGCACAGTGCTAAGTACTTAATCCATATTATCTCATTTAATCCTCACCTTAGCTCTGAAAAGGTAGCTTCTATAGTATGATCTTCCTTTTGCCCCTGAGGAAACTATGACTCAAAGAGATTAAGTCCCCTGTCCACAGGCAGTCATCGGTAGAGTCAGGATCCAAACCCACCTGTGTCTGACTCCAGGGACTGAACTCTTACCACAATGCCATACCACCTCTGAGGAACAAGACTGTTAAAAAAAGCTTTAAGTAAGACCCTGAGAGACTTTTTTACTGGCTGCTCATATCCATCTGTCTGTCTACCATCATCCACACCTCATCAATCATTCATCATCCATCCTTCATCCATCCACATTCATCCATCCACCCATCCATACATCCATACTACCATCACTCACCCATCATCCACTCATCCATCATCCAACCATCATCCACCCATTCATCATCAATCATTCCATCCATCCATCCAGCCATCATTGAACTATTATTCACCTATCCATCCATCCATCCATCATCCAGCCAGCCAGGAATGACTCATTCATCTTGATCTCTCATTTCCTCCCTCTAAACCAGCTCCCAATCTGAGACCAAAGTCCTACCCACACATCTCTATTCTTACTCAGTTTTTTGATGTCACTAATACCTGTATGTCACCAGGACAAAAATAAAATGATATTCAAAACAACCCCACACACAAAAAATTCAAGCCTTAGGTGTCATTCGGTTGACCTTATCTCCTCGGAGCAGAAACCCCAGCCTGAAGACAGGGCTCTCCCCAGGGGAGCAGAAGTAAGATCAAGACAGAGAAGGCAGATGA